TCGAGGAGCTCAAGTGCAATGTGTGTCCGGGACCCTTGTTGCTCTGCGTGGAAACCATACTATCAGTTTGAAAGCCGATGCTAATCTCTGTGAGACCTGACGAGATATTCAGGATGACTTTGGTTATGCTTCGGAACATTATGCTGGTGGGTGGATCAGGGAGCTCTTCGAAGCCTACAATATGTTCATAAATCTGTGTGGTTGCCTGGTGATAAAGATGCTTTTTGTTGGGCCGATATGTCTAGAGGTGGTATGATTGGCTAGGCGGAGATCGTTCCTGTGAATGTCAACGACTCCCCTGAACAACTATGTGCGGAGGATAGTATCCTCAGAATACGACAAAGTAAGAAGTGATCTATGGCTGCTCAGTTGTTCCAGATGATAAAATGCATTCAACCTTGGTGACCTTTTCAGGCCAACCCAGTTATGAAGATGCTCTGTTGTAATTATGATCGCAGCCAAGAAGGACGACTCGTCCTGGACGAGCAATTGGCAAATATCCGTGCTTCCTGCGAGAAAGGAGCTCCCTCAGGAGCAACTCGAAAGCATCTTCCAGGGAACACGCAGAAAGTCGAGAGTTTCTGGTGGAGGGAGGCTGCTCATTTCATCTAGGTCTATGGCGAGCTGATGAGCCTGTTATTGGACAGGCAGTGCTGCCTGATTGTGATGGTCTTCTATTTTGGGAGAGTTTCAAGGCACGCTTCACCGCATCGCATTAGTTATTTGGAAGTGTTGGGTGAGACTAAGTGTTAGCGAACATCACAACACGCCGCGCATTGGCTCAAGACCACAGTCACATTGGCTAACACGCAGGCACATAGGCAATGTCCCCATTACTCACCCAACAATCCCAGAGAATCCGTGCGTCCGATGTTCACATTACTTCCGTGATCAGGAGTCATAATTTTAGGTTGCAGTTATGACATCATTGTCACCTAGGATCCCCAAGTCACGCGGGGAGGAAAACACCATTCAAGCAAGCGGAGATCTCTGGGCACAACATCCCAGATTCGGTTTCTGGTGATCGTTGTGGTGTGGTGGTCGTCACCACTAGTCGTGATGGCTCGACAGCGATGCTGTTAGTAGCGGCCTGCTACTCACGACAATCTCGGTAATATCCAGAGACACTCAAACCCCAATACTCCGCGCGCAAATGGACATTGTTCTCTCAGGAGCAAATGCATTATTCCTATCAGGAATCACGCAATTTAATGTTGTAGTTGGTGATGTAGGAATTCTCTACATCATCAACTCGCAACATCTAGAGGACTGAGAATCTCCGTTGTATGAGTCTCGCACTGACGCTTGATTTCGGGTAACCCGTAGTGTTTCCATGCGCGAGAGCCCGAGTTACCCGCCGCACGGACTTGTTCGGCCGGCACCTTACGAGCCAGCCAGGCGCAAGCTCCAGAGCGCCTTACGCCATGGACAGTTCGAAATTCCAACTTCGAATGATCGGTGAGTGATCCGTCGGGCCATCTCGTCGTCGTCGATCTGAGGACGGGGAGCCAGGTCATGCACAGAGGAACCTCTCCAGCGTATCACCTCGGGTTCTCCTGGACGCAGAGGCAGTCCAATGGACGCAGGCCATACCCGCGGCTCCTCAGGGATGGGTACCGATACCCCCAGAGGCATATCATGCTTGGTCAAACCGCAGAGGCGCAGTCTTCGGGTCTTTCACCAGGCAATGTAACTCGAGATAGCACTTTCAAGAGCCTCCGACGAAGGGGAGAGATGAGGAAGCTGATCCGAGGAGAGTCTCCGCCCGACCTAAGTCCGCAGACTCCAGAATGCGAGCAAATACCAGAGCTAACTGCTCAGCCTCGCGCTCTATTCCCTAAGAGACCCATTTTGAAGCTGCTCGACTCTGCTCTGACCTTGTAGCAGACTGATATTCTCGAAGAAGGCTATGGATGTCGCTCCTGTTGGACCAGATCTCTGCTCGTGAGCGGAGAGATTTGGCGAGTGCTATAGAGAACTTCTCATGACGCTCGGAGAATGTTATATCATCATACCATTGAGATAAGGTTGAAGATCCGGTTCCATCAACCGGGGGTATGCATTCGTCTAGTCATAGCAAAGATCCCATTCGCATTTGTGACCCAGGGATGAGTCTCAAGAGTCGCATCGCCTGTAACTAAAGCTTCAGCTGGGGGATCCGACGACTCTACTTGGACTGTCCTCGATCGACTTAGCCGGTAGCGGTCACGGCCTCTGCGCCGAAGGTTGTCGCCGCCGACCTCCGGCTGGATGCATTCGAGAAGGCATCAACTGACCGATCTGCCAAGAAGCCCTGGCGTGAATCAAACTCCACGCAGCAGTTCAAATACTTGGGAGTAGATGAAGGAATGAGATAAAAAATTGGCCGAATGGATTAGGACCTCTCGATCCACTCTAGATTATAGAGAGGGCTCGAGAATCATGACCTTTGCTTCTTAGTCGGAGGCAACCCTTTCCCGACCACCGTATCCTTTTCATGGCTCTTCGACGGCCAACGACACTTGCGAATATGCTTCAGCGAAAGGGCACTGATGGTATGCGGGCATTTATCAGGTGGCGGAGCTTTCGCCAATCTCTCTTTGTTGAGGGGTTGCCGTCGCCGGTTGCTAACACCCAGCGGCCTTCATTCACGTTGCAGCTAGTATCGATACATAGTACGATAGGGAGAAGGCCGCACAACAGTTAACTGAGATTGCGAGCTTTGCGGCCACCAAAGGCCGCCGGCCATCGGCCGAGTCGGGAATCCATTGGATGTTGCTGCTGACATCTACTACCGGCTACTTGTCTCCCATGGAACGATCGGAGCCTAGTTTTACCTCTCGGTAGGTAGCAAGAGACTCACTCAGCAGTTTCACTTAGCCTGGTCGACCACCAAACCGGGGGAACCACCACCATAACGTCTCGAGATCCGCTCCATGTACTCGCGGTGACCTTGTGCGGCAGCACCGTGCTTGTTGGAGAAGGCCTCAACAGCACTTTGTGAAGCGGATTCAATCCTCAGACCATGAACCGAACAGAGTTGCGTCTGGAGACGTTCGTTGGAGACCAATAGTCTGCCGTTTCAGCTTTATCAATGGGACAGAGGACATCAACAACCGTGTTCTTCAGCATGTCCGGCTTTGAGACCAAGGTCGGAAGGTCAGCGACAATTAGACCAAGTTGAAGTAGCCTGTCGACAATGGCGTCGCGTAGTACCGTTGGGCAGCTGGCCGGGGAGATCGCACGAAAGGCCTCCGTTTCTCTGGCAAAGTGTCCGTCATAGAGACAGGAGGCAAGGAAAAACTAAGTAGAGAGGCGGGAGGCGTACGGTTATTACGAAATTCATCGAGGGAGCTATACATGTGAGGTGCATAAGCAACTCAATTAAGATCACGTAAAGAAAAGCATAATGCAACAGATTGCGAACCATATAAAGCATGCGAGATGGAATATGAGTCACCCAGTTAAGGCAGGCACGGCGCCGGCGACGGTACGTCGCAATGCCGTGCCCCCCCCCCCCCCCCCCCCCAATGACAACTTGTTCAGTGGCTCGACTGTCATTCAACGACTACAGACTTCCAGACCATTAGCCAAGCAAGCAAGTTCGGCTTGACCAATTAAAATCCTCGCTGAACCAGAACGCAGGTGAGCTCGAGTGACGCCAAAGTGACCTTGTACAGTGCGTTGCGGGTGCATGAGAAGTTCCCTCCCGAGTCAACGCTCAAAGACGTGTCTCAGAAGGTTCCTTCTAAGATGAGCTTGCCCAAGCTAGAAGGCTCGCGATCCAACATATCAAGCTGATCACTGAGCCCAGGTCAGTAGATCATAACGGAGAGTGCAAAGATGATGAGAGATGAAGACAGGATAATCAGTCAACTCCAGCTCAAATTCGAGATTGTAAGCAGTCTGATTGAAAATTTCAACATCTACACGTGACCAAATGAAGATCTCTGTAGACCGGAAGAAAATTTACAGGGTGGAACCGGCTCGAGAGGCTCCTGGACAGCCAGATTGCTGTCACTTCAGTCTCGACCGGTTGCACCAATTTCTGGTTCGGGTCGATCACAATGGCGTGCGCCACGCACGCACGAGCGATACTTGTTACTTTTGCTTGAATTTGCCCCATGCAAGCCTAGAAAGCCTTCAATTTCAGCGCTTGTAGTGGTCGTTGTGCGTGGCGTGTGCGCACAATAGCTAATGTACCGATTATCGATTATTGATCGGCGGCTGACACGGCCGATTCCCTTGCTCTCCCAGCATGTCGAGTTCGAGAGATCAGCAACCTCCACATGGTGCCCAGACCCATCGTGGCCCCCAAGTGTCCCCGAGGAATGCTTTGGACACCGCGGCTAACATTAACGCGCGGTTAACTGCTAGCTTTGTGCATGGCGACGAGACCCAGTCGCCCCCGCCGCAGCAAATTCCGAATAGCCCCTCAAGAAGGACTACGGTTCGTCATCCCACTACATCTGAGCAGCAAGTCCAGCATAGTGGCCCTCACACAAGGAGCAGCAATAGACACCCTCAAGGAGCTTCTTCGTCTCGTCAGGAGCCAAGAGTTCCACGGATACCGACGAGCCAGTGGTCCCTCAGCAACCTCAGACTGATAGAGGTGTTCCACCATGTAATCGCCCACCCGTTTCTGCACAGGACTTCTCAATTAGCGGGGGGATATAGGCTCTAAGGCTCCGAAGCTCGCACTCTTCAGTGGCGAGAAAGCGCCCGATTCGATGTCGCTCGACGAGTGGCAGGCGCGATGGTGCTTGATTGCTCCAATTGAGTTCGTCAGCAGCGTCAACTAGCGTCAGAGTTCGTTCAAACTTTGAACTTCAAAGAACTGGACCCCACAGGAGAGGAGATCTAACTTGATTAATAGCCTGACGGGGAAGGCTTATAGACTCCTTTCTAAGCAAAGCTTCGCCCCATCTTTAACTGATGAGGCGGTCGAACGAGAAATTTGGCTACGTCTCCATAGGTCTTTTGGCCAAGGAGAGAAGCAAAGCTTCAAGAAGCTGGTTGCCATGCAATTCCGCATTGGCCAAGATACCGTGGGTTGTTATGGAGCCGATGTGCGACACAATACAGTGTTGGCATTCAGATATCTCGATACCGCTTCCCATGAGAGGATTGCGGCGACCTTCTATTGGAATACACTGCCTCAGACGCAAACGGTGCGTCAGAGCTATGGTCTCTGGTCTTTCTTGGAACCCAAGAAGAGGACCCTCACGAAAGCTATTGATCTCACCAGGCCTCTATTTGAGGTAGACGAGACTGGTGGTGGTCCTACTCAAGCAGGAGGCCCAGAGGAATTCAGCGCGGTAGTTGCCGCCCCAGGAAAGGGCCAGCAGCCTCAGAAGGGCAATTCTAAAGGCTGGAGATCTTCTAAAGGCTGGAATCAGAGGTGGTCCTTTGGCAAGAGGAACCAACCTCAAAAAGGAAAAGGCCAGTCCAAGGGACATGGCAAAGGAAAAGGATATCGTAGCACTCCTTATCCTCAGTATGGATATGATCAGTGTTACAGCTGTGGTGGCTATGGCCATAGAGCCAATGTGTGTCCTTCGAGGAAACCACAGGAGAGCCACCCAGGAGATAGGCAAGTGAGAAGCTCAGCTTCTAGTATCTTGCTCATCGAGTTAGAGGGTTATTATTTCCTCATTGACTCTGGATGCTCGATGTCTATCTTGTCATCCATTTCAGGCTTGAGTGGGAAGCCAAGTTCGGATCGTACGAGGTCCATCACCACAATATTTCAAAAGTCATATCAATGTCAAGTATTGAATAACATCAGTCTACCAGGCGACTTTAAAGCCCTGTCGACTGTTGTGTTGAGAGGAGCACTGGTCACTGATCAACCGCTGGTTGCAGTCTGTCGGTGCAACACTGTAGCGACGGACAGAATCCTCCTTGCAGGATCCTCCTTTCTTGGATTAGATTGGATCAGAGCTATAGGGGGAATATCTATCAGTTTTATTGATAGCAATGAGCCTATCATACAAATCAAAGCCAATAGTAAGTCTGCTGAATCATATGTCGAGATCTTCAACGACATTGTCAATACAATATTGTACACGAATGACACAGCAAAGTGTCACGTGGGGATCCAAGTCACGGATGGACCATCCGGGATGGTGCTTACAGTGAGAAAGCTGGAGAAGGCGACTGTATTTCAGAGTCACGCGTTCACCACGGGAGGTTAGTTACCCGTGAGTTACATGCCTCAGATGTAACTGCGCGTCGTCTCGGTGATCCAGAGAGCGACGAAGGAGCAGTGTGGGAGCTACAATGGCATTGGGTGACTAATAAGGAATCACCTAGGCACATTATGCCACCAGATTATGATGTATTTGAGAGAAAGTCACCAGATATAATGGAGTTGTTTAAAGATGCCATCGGATTGTGGAAAGAATCTGGCCTCATAGAGGAAACGCCTCTCACTGAATTGAAGGCTTCGCACCCACTACTATGTGTTGAACAGTTACACAAGCCTACAACACCAGTTCGGCCATTTTGCGACATGCGCTGGGCCAATGAGATGATCAAAAGTACGCCAAATGAGAAGAGAGATTCTCCGCTTGCTTGCATCGAGAATCTCAGACGTTGGCGCTCATACCAAGTTGAGGCCCCTGATGAGCTTGTTATTATAGATTTGAAAAAGGCGTACTTGTGTATATTTGTTGAAAACGACCAATCCTATTGGTTAGGGACCCGATTGAGATGGGAGCCTCATACGGCTTACCGTATGGTCAGAATGCCATTCGGGCTCAATGTAGCTCCGAAGACACTGGCACTGATCTTAGATGATATAAGAAAAGAGTGTATCCCTTTGACGGCGATCTTTGATATGTATGTCGACGATATCATAACACAGCGGTCTTATGCTCAACTCATCCGGGATACATTGAAGAAAAACGGATTTCCTACCAAAGAACCTACTGCTCTCCTGGACAGCAGAGAGTTAGGTCTCGAATGTCAAAAGGATGGTGCTTGGCGTCGTAGAGGTCAATTGCCTATCTTTAATACAGATAATTGTACCCGCAGGGAGATCCATAAATGGGCAGGGAAATTCACAGCCCATTACCCTATTGCAAAATGGGCGAGACCCGCAGCAGCTTCCCTAAAGAGATTGGCTACCCTCAGAAAGCCTAAACAAGACCTTCTGTGCGATGTGGCTGTGGATGACAGTATTCGCATTGCATGCGAAAAGCTCGTAAATGAGATCAACGAGCAAGGTGATCCCATAGGCGGGACGTGGAGCTATGATAAACATCTGGATTGGGTAGTATATACAGACGCAAGTCAACATGCGTTGGGTGTTGTACTAACTATAGGAGGTGTTTATGTCGAGGACTTCACAAAACTAAGAAGCCTCAGAGATAAACGTCATATCAACCTGGCAGAGTCGGAAGCCGCCATATACGGCATCCAACTTGTCGGCAAATATATAGCCGCTCTTAAACTGGAATCGGGCAGAAAAGTGACTCTGAGATGTGATAGTAAGAGTGTTGTGGCCTGGATAACACGCCACCAGGAACGTCATTGGAGGGTGGTCCATGGCCTCAATTCCACATTGATGGAGAGTCGGCTAATAACATTTCAATCTACGTGTATGGCTCTCGGCATTGAGTTCGAAGTCGAGTTGATATCGACTGATAAAAATCTGGCGGATGAGCTCAGTCGTCCTCCTGCCTATTGTATTCCTCCGAAAAATATAGATGAGGAGGGAGAATACGATGATCTCATTGCGGCTCTACTACAAACGACCCAGACGGATCCACGAGCTGACGAAAGGGACGAGCACGGAAGGCTCATGATGTCGTGGGGATCCGAACTGAGATACGTAGCAACTGTGCTACATGAGCATGAAGGCTCCAAGTCATTGTTCGAACGCATGAGGCGCATCATCAGATGCCCTCAGTTACGGCAGCATTGCAACGAATTTGTTGCATGTCTGTTCCACAAGAAAAATCACAAAAGCTGCCACAGCTCAGCTTGGTATAGAGTTCGGCCAATGTGAGTTGAGAGCTCAGCGTCCTTGGCAAATGGTTCATATGGACATAAGTGGTCCATTTAATAACGCCTTGGACACTATGTACGTGATAGCCTTAGTTGACAATTGGAGCTCTTATACGATAACTCGGATAGTTTTGAATACGCCGACTACCGAGGACTGTTTAGCACTGTTCAGGGTAGTGGATGCAACATTCAACACTACACCTGAGGGCATACATACCGATAACGGTTCCCAATTCATTTCTACTGCGTTTGCAGATGCGATGAGTTCGGTCTCGTGTCGGCACGTTTGCTCCCAGTCTTCAGTTCCTGGTGTAATGGCAAATGCGAGAGAATGTTTCGCAATATTAACGAGAGGATTCGCTGCCAAAAGAATCCTAACGAGTTATCGTTTCTCACATTCAAACAAGTAGTGGTACGCGCCACTCAGCTGTTCAATACTGCCATTAGTGGTCGAACTACATATTCTCCGCATGAGATGATATTCACTTACGAGCCTTGGATACTTCCCAGACTTCCGGCGAAATACAGGCCTGGAAAGAGTTACGTCGAGTCGCAGCCTAATATTGATCCCCAATTACCCGCTAAAGGCGATTTGTGGTTGATGAGGAAAATGCCGCGAGGCAAAAAATACGAGCGACCGTATATTGTCGTTCGGATCTTGAACCAATTGTCGGCACTCATTTACAGAGTCCTCACGCCTGATTTGCGTAAGCGTGTCGTACACTTGAAATATTTAAAACGCGTTTCTCAAGCTGCTCTCGAAAAATTTGATGCGTCTCAAAAACCACCGATGCCGGATGTATCGTAAGTCGTAACTTCCGGCAGGGGGGCGTGTAGTGGTCGTTGTACGTGGCGTGTGCGCACAATAGCTAATGTACCGATTATCGATTATTGATCGGCGGCTGACACGGCCGATTCCCTTGCTCTCCCAGCATGTTGAGTTCGAGAGATCAGCAACCTCAACAGCGCTCTGCACAGCTGTTGTCCGGTCTGGTGCAACGAGCTTATTGGTGGCCTATATTGCGCAAAGACTACACTACTAGGCCTTCGTGAGAAACTATGAAGTGTGCCAGCGCTCCACCAGATGTGCGTCAAATATCTGTATTTCAAGGTCTGGACAGCAAGTTCCACTCCCTTGGTATTCGGTTGGACCGAACGTCTTTTCGTTCGGTGGGGAACCGGGATCCGGGTTGGATCTGCATTGGTCCAATGCCATTGGACGGCAAAGATGACTACAACATGCGCTTTCACTGAGTCTACCGTGTTGGTTCCCCTACTTCAGCCTGTTTATTCCGCCTGTATTGTCAATGCTTATTTGCATGCTTTTAGCTTCTATGGTTATCCGCGGCATCTTCGGTGTGATGGAGGAGCGAACCTTGTATCACAAAATGTGAACTCTTGTCTCTTAGCTCATGGAGTGGGTAATGCAGTGACCGTCGGTCATTCACCAACATGGTGACACCATGGACAGGCGGATATTATGAAGGAAGGCATAGAGATTTGGCTGTTACTTCGAAGAAGTTTCTGTTCGATCTCAAATATGGAACTGGTGCGATGTATGTGAACTCTCCGTATGATTTGGCTGCTATGTTGCAGGATCAGCTAAATAGTTATAGTATAGATTGCCGTGGTGCTCGTGGTATGACTTCCCAAATGCGTATGACTGGCACTATCCCCAGATCACCTGCTTCCCTAGATGATGTTGCCCCGAGAGATATTTGGTCCTCATAAGGCATCTTTGGCGAGATCAAATTGAAGGAAGCCTCTGGTGAGTGTGTAGCTCTTCGAAAAGCTAAGGTAGTCGAAGTTCTGGGTAAACGAGAGATGAATGTCTTCGTGATTTAAATCCCCTGATTTTTATTCGGAGTAGTTTGAATTAATTAAACCCTTGCTAGGAAGCAAACCGAAGAGCTGCTCAAGATTGATGACAGCGTGTTGTTAGGTGAACCTTGTCCCAGCAAGTCTGCTCCTCCGAAGAGCAAACTTGAAGCCTCCTCGTTGGTACAAGTGAAGTTGCTGGTGTGCGAGGTCTAAAGTGTATTGCGAATAATGACGATGGAAGCCCTAGGGAGCTGCATCTGCGTTATGTGAGGAAGTTTAAGAGTGGTAAGGGAGCCCAACCCGTTACAACTTCTAAAAGACATCGACGATCTCAGATCGTCCTGATGATCACGAAGATGGTGATCAAGATGATGAGAGTCCTACAACTCCTAATGTGGTGCGTACAAGACCAGCTCGTAAGTGCTCTAGAATGATTAGCTATGCGCATCAACTGTAATTGACTATTGATATGTGCTCGCGTCGTTACATTATATACGGCGCGAAGTGGTCTCTATATCGAACCAGAGTAGCGTTCTCAATGAAGTGAGTGATTAGGCCAAAGGCTTTGGCGCATTGAACGTTGACTGGTTGGCAATGTCGCGCACATTTATGAATCCAGCCTTAGCTGGATGGCGCCTCGCTTTCGAGCTGAGCTCATCTGACAGATGAGGTTAGCTGGGGAGAGTGATGGGTGGATGTCCCTCATCCGCTGATGGGACGGTATCCCATCCGATGGAGAGGCTAGCTTTATAAGGGCTGGGTTAATATCTTTTACGAGGCACTGATATTGTGTGTTTCGGCAGCTTATTTACCGGTTCGTTAGTTTGAGTTAGAGCCTTCCACGTGTTCGACCTCTCCAAATTCTGAGTTCGAATTATCAGTTCCGAGTTCCGACGCTGGGTGAGCAAATTCCGAGCGGTATTACTTCTCTTAGTCTACCTTCTCTGAAAGATGTAATTGCCAGTATGCTGTCCGAGCAGTTGCCGGACACGTTCAACTTCTCCAACTCGCTACCGGGACTTGAAAACTTCGTTCTCGCTTCCAAGGAAAATCGTTCCATTGTGAAATCGTTCCGTTTCATGTTTATACTTCTGTAGCACCAATGACTTGAATGTAAGACTAGACTTATTGACTTGGAATGTCAAGTAGCTCAAACTCTAGGAGTTTAGAGTGTGAAGGCTGGTGTCGTGAGCGTGTTCGTGCTCGGAGGTAGTCTCACGGTGAGACTCTCACCTCCATTCTATCATTCTCTTCTTTTCCAACTCATTAACCTGCTCCTTGGATTGCCACTCTAGATCCTCGGTGGTGTCCGAGACGCTTTGCTCTATAGCTGCGTGCGAATTGCGTAAGCCTAACTGACTTGTATGACAGAACTCATGGATAGATGGTGTCCTCCTGTTGTGGGAGAGTCACGAATTGAACTCAACTGATCTTTCTATTGCTCCTAAAGTGAGGTCTCCGATGTAGATCCTAGGAGCACTCCTGGTA